TACTGGCTCCATTCTCTGTTGACTCTTGCCTGAATCATTTAGTACTTTGTAGGTGGTAAAATAGTCATTTTCTAAATCCACCAATCCTAATTTTATTATCTGGTGTTCTTCCTAAAGAAGAATCCACTTTACCCCCTTTTTGACTATATTATACATTAATTGATTTTTTTAATTTAAAAAAATAATTATCATTATTTTTTGATGCTCTAAGTACTCCACATATGACCATTGGAAGCCCCTTTAAGCTGGCTCCTGTGTACTTTGACATGTCTGTGTCAGTCTTTGAGCACTTCCTACTTTCTGTCACAATAAAAAAATGTTCCATGACCGTCTTACACTATCTTTGCCTTTGACCTAGAAACAGCCATTTTTCCCAAGATTCCCTGAGTCCTTTTAGTGGGGAATAGAATTTAGAAACTAAGATCTTGGCACTCACAAAAGGTACTCATTGCTTATGGAGTGGCCACAGTTTTAGACCTTCTCAGTGGCTAGAACTAACCTATATTAATACTCTTCCTTTGTCTCGGTCTGCTCAGGCTGCTGTAACAAAATACCGTAGACTGCTGGTTTAAACAACAGATGTCTATTTCTCACAGTTTTGAAGGTTGAGAAGTCCAAGATCAAGGTGCTGGCCAATTCAGTTCCCCAGTGAGGCCTCTCTTCCTGGCTTGCAGATGGCCACCTTCTCAATGTATCTTTACATGGTGGAGAAAGAGCAAGCTCTGCTCTACATTCCTCTTCTTATAAGGACACTATCTCATCTTGGGGGCCCCACCCAAACATCATCACATTGGCGGTGAGGGTTCTACATTAAACATATTAAAATATGTTAACGTGAATTTGGGGGTGGGGGACACAAACATTCAGTCCATAATACAGTAGAGGGTTCTTTCCCACTTTTCTCATATTTTTATCTCCCTCTCTCACCTGAGAACCCACGGTTCCCAATTACATTGATTTGTTTATTTATTTTTCTCTGTTCTACAAGATGCTCAAAATAGTTTCAGAATAACTAATAACTACCCCTGTACCATTACCAAACAACAAATAAACTAAGTAAAATTAAGATTTCTTTACAGTTCTTTTTATCGTTAAAACATATCCCCCTAAGGATGTAGAGTCAGAATACACTGGGTTCAAAAGTTACTTAAATCTTTTCTTTTTTCTTTTTCCGTAATTAGATGATAGCAAGTTGAGATAGAGTTGTTTCATTGGTTTTCGTATGTGTTCAATTTTAACATCTGCTTCCAAGCTCTATTTTAAGGTATAGAGTAACAGGTTGAACAGTAGGTTAGTATTTTAATTAAAAGAAGAAAAATTTAAAACACTTATTCGTTTGTTTTTGCATAAAAATATGTGTGGAAGAAGATGCTAGGAATTGATCATTGATTCTGGGACGGGCAACTGGGCGGCTGGGACAGGAGCTGGGGGAAAACTTTTTACTGTGCACTATTTTGTGCTTGAAAAATTTTGACTCATAACTGTATTATCCATAAAAAATAAATAAAAATTTAAAAGGAAATAGTCCACCTTTGTTTCTCCCATCCACCCCCCTCACACGCCATTACCCAACTTCCTTAATGCCTTCATGTAGGCATGGCTTATAGGATTCTATCTGATCCCAAGAAACACCCAATTACGGTTACCTTGACTTCCTACTGTCTCCTCAATTGGTGAATCATCCAAGCGAAGAGGCTGCATTTTCCAAGCCATTTGAATCACTTCCCCGGGATGTTTCCATGAGCCATCAGAGCACATACTTGAGCCGTGTCTAGAGGTGCTTGCTAAGTTTCCTAGGAATTTTTTTTAATGATTCAGTGCATACTCTCTCTGAGCTGCATTTTGTCACTTTCAACATTCAACAGATGTATTTGGCTCACGAGCAGTTTTTGATTCTCATGGATGAGGAATTTTTCATTCTCTCTGTTCTGCCTGATACTGGAGATGTTTTCAGTTAAATGCTCTCTGTCTCTCAGTCTCTCTTTCATTTTTCTTTTCTCTAGTCTTCTGGGTTCTTATCTGAACTGCAGATGCTACAGTTATCTCTTCAGGACGGTAACACCTCTGGAAGCTTGGTGTCGCTGCCAAAGTGGAGCAAAATTCAAAATAATAACAATCTGTGCATTCAGGCATCACTATTGCAACTTCTTCCCTGGTAACAGGTTTTCAGTCCGAATTATGTGGATTATTATTTACTTTACCCTATGCCGTCGCTGCTCTAATTATAAGTTGATAGTTTTTGTGTGTCTGTGGGTGTATGTGCACGTGCTTGTATTTTATTACAATGGTGCTTGCTTACTATTTGTCATTCTAGAACTCAGGAATCCAAGTTATTTTACAAACACAGAGAAGTAAAACCCAGAGAACTTCCTGGGGGTGAAAGATAATTGCTAGTAGCCTGGGAGGGGGCAGGAGCGGGATGAGAGCTGGGTAGTAGTATATTGTAAACAGAAAGAAACCTGTATCAAGAATCAGGTCACCTGTATTTGCAACCTGGATTTCATCATTTTACTTTTTCATTAATTCACACTTGCCTTCCCTCATTTGTTCAACAAATATTTATTATCTACTATGTGCAAGGCACTCTTTTGCATGACCTTTTCCAAGCCACTTAACCTCTAAGACATGTGTTCATTTTTAAAAATAGACTTGATTTTTTGGAGCAGTTTTAGGCAGCAAAACTGAGCTGAAGGGACAGACATTTTCCACAGATCCCCTGCCCCTACACAGCCAGAGCCTCCCCCTTGTCAACATTCCCTGCCAAAGTGGTCTACTTGTTACGCTTGATAAACCTGCACTGACACATCATTATCACCCAAAGCCTTAGTTTACCTTAGGGTCACTTTTAGTGTTGTACATTCTATGGGTTTGAAAAAATTTATAATGACATGTATCAACCATCATAGTATCTTACAGAGTAGTTTCACTGCCCTAAAAATCCTCTATGCTCCATCTATTCATCCTTCTCTCCTCCCAACCCCCAGCAACTGATCTTTTTACTGTCTTCATAGTTTTGCCTTTTCCAGAATGTCATATAGTTGAAATTATACAATAATGAGGCTTTTCATACTGGCTTCTTTCACTTAGTAACACACATTTAATTTCCTCCAGGTCTTTTCATGGCTTGATAGCTCATTTCTTTCTAACACCGAATGTTGAATAATATTCCTTTGTCTGGATGTACCACAGTTTATTTATCCATTCACTTACTGAATGACATCTTACTTGCTTCCAACTTTTGGAAATTATGAATAAAGCTGCTCTAAATATCCGTGTGCAAGTTTTTGTGTCTGAATAAGTTTTCAAGTAAGCAACAAGAAATGCCCTTGCTGGACTGTATGGTAAGAGTATGTTTTGTTTTATAAGAAATTGCCAAAGTATCTTCCAAAGTGGCTGTACCACTTTGCATTCCCACCAGCACTAAATGAGCATTCCTGTTGCTCCACATCCTTGTCTTCATTTAGTGTTGTCAGTATTTCGAGTTTTGGCCGTTGTAACAGGTGTGCAGTGGTATCTCATTGTTTTAATTTGCAATTCCCTAATGACGTATGGTGTTGAACACCTTCCTACCCTTATTTTCCAATGCATGTCTTCTTTGGTGAAGCGCCGTTTCAGGTCTTTCGCCTATTTTTTAATTATGTGGTTTGTTTTCTTATTGTTGAATTCTAACATTTCTTTGTCTATTTTGGACAATAGTCCTTTTTCAGATGTGTCTTTTGCAAATATTTTCTCCCAGTCTGTGACTCGTCTTCTCATTCTCTTGACAGTGTCCTTTGTAAAGCAGAAATTTTTAATTTTAATCCAGTCTGGCTCACCAGTTCTTTCTTTCGTGGACATGTATTCATTTTCTAAATGGAACTATTATTATCTGCTAGCATATCTTACAGACAGGTTTGGTATGAAACTGTTTTCTTTCTTCTTTAAGACACAGGGTAGTGTGGCATGTTTCTGCCCTCTCAAATTCCAGCAAAGTTATATGCCTTATTTTAGTCACTGAAATACGATGTGTTGTCTTCCAGAGGTAAGTTTCAAGGACCAACATGAATTTCTCTTTCCTCTCTGTCACAGACACTAGCGATGTTCCCTAGAGTGGATGCTGCATCAGCCTGGGGCCCAGGGTGAGAAAGATCTTGCAAAAGAGCCCCTAGCCCATCTGCAATGGGTGCATAGCAAACAAGAAATAAACTTTCATTACTTTAGGCCACTGAGAATTTCCGGATGTTTGTTACCTCAACATAACCCAACCTATCCAGTCTGCTACATAGAGTCAGGAAGACATGATAACTTCAAAGCACATAGCAACTGTGAAATGAGGAAGCAAGACTGAGTTCACCAGTAAAATAAGCTTGGGTCTGTGTTGGCCAGACAAACAAAGACTAACAATCTGCAGCATCTCCCACTCTTGACACGGGATGAGGTGCAGAAGGGAAAAGAATGGGCCTGGGGTCATCTGGGGCACTGTCTCTGGATGGCGGTGCTGACAGGTTGGGTCATCTCAGTGTACATAAAGTGGAGATTTCCATGGGTGGTTTACAGTCTAATACTTTAGGGCATGACATAGAATGGAAATAAACTAGAGCCAAGAGGAAAGGTTAGTGGAAGTTCTGCTTTCTTCTATCTTTAGAAATGGAATGCTTTTCATCCCAAAGAGGCTCTCTCAAGCCCGATTAAGTAAAAACAAAGAACTATGGTCTGAAACTAGCCTTACTGTGCTTCAGGTCCCAAGGAGCTCACTCTAGGGCAGGGGAATTTCTGAGAGTAAAGAGGATGGGAAGAGAGAGCATATTTATTAAGCACATATTATGTGCCAGGCGTCCAACTAGGCTTTATATATACATTAGCTCTTGGATCTTAATGCCAACACTTCAATTCCTAGCTCTACAAAGTGAGGAGACTGAAATGGAAATTTAGATCATAGAGCGGCCCAGACAAATTAATTCCTCAAAGTTTTAAGAATTAATATACCACTTACCAGGGCATTGTTTTGATTCTGAATCTAGGGGTTAGAATTTGCCTCCCTGAAACTGAATGTTGAACGTGGATGACAGCATCGGGACAGGCCTCCAGATGGTGCAGAGAGACGACTGGCAAGCTGAAGTGTGATAATGAGGGTAATACACATGTACACGACTTTATAGTGGCTTTGCTGCAGTGTGTGGGGTCATCTTCTATGACCTCCGTGGAGCATGATGGCTGAGGAACACCCAGTCTAAGGTAAGATGGGCACTCCTGTTTTCTGGGGGCTATGTGTGACGGTGTTATTCAACAAAAAAGGAGCTAGACTAAACTGTACTCACTCATAAAGATAATCATACAAACTTCTGCTAGACTTCTTGGACAACGTGCCAGCAAGCATTCTTCAGGGTCAGGTTTGTTCAACAAAGTGTTGCCTGATTTAAAAAAACAATAATAATAAAATGGAGAGAGGAAAGAAAGGGTCTGCCGATAGTAAATTCGTTTGTTAGGCCAATAAAGAAATCCATTAAAACAAAATAACAACAACAACTAGGCAGGCTCACAAGTGTGGAGCCTCTGAGTGGCTTCTGACTTCTCAGTAATGGAGTAAATGCTCATCAGTTCAGCCGAGGGCTGAGAGATAGAAACCAACAACCGCAAACAGAAACCTTTTGGAAGAGCTTAAAGATTTAGCAATGGCACATCTCCAATTTTCCATCTTTTATTTAACTCCTTTGAACTCCCACTAATTTCCAGGCAACACTTTGGAATTTTATTTTTAGCTCTGCCTTTTGAATTATTATTTTTTTCCCCTTGTTGTACAAATCTGTGCATGGAGATGGCTTCTCTTTTTCATTAAAAATTTTTTTCTTGATTATTGAATAATGTTCACTGCCAGAATGATTTAAAAATAAAGACTAATTTGAAGAAGAAAATGAAAGTGATCTGTAATCCCATGGTTCAGAGACAATTACTGTTAAAGTTTTGGTGTATTTCTAGCCAGGACGTTTTCTAAATGTGCGTATCCTTTTTTTCACGCAGCCTAGAGCATGCTGCCCTGAGAGTGAGTCTTCTGGAAGGAGGCACAGGCTCTGCATCAGATGGGCCTGCATTCCCACCCGGCTCTTTCACTGAGAGATTTGTGGGGCATGGGGCAAATCAGCCATAAAGCTCTGTTTCCTCAATAGTGTGCTGGGGATGATATTGGTACTGCCTGCTAGTAGGTATTTTGAGGGATAAATGATACAATGGAGCTAAAGCCTTTAGAAAAGTGACTGGCACTTCAAAGCACGGAAAGAATAAGTGTTAGCTATTATCACCATTGTGCTTTTTGCCCGCCATGCCACAGCATAAACACTTTTCCATGTTTTTCACAATCACGATTTTTTTTCGCAATCATGATTTTTAATGGCTGCATGAAATTATATTTTAGGGATATGCTAGAGTTTAATTATTCCTCTCTCACTGAATATATTTTCAGGTTTTTTGTACGTGATGCTGGAAGGAAGATCTTAATAGACAAATCTTTCTTTGGTGGTTCTGTTCACTGTGTTCTTAGGATTGTTTCCTATCAGTGGAGTAGCAAGGTGGGAGCAGTTGAAAAATTTCAAGGTTATTAATACATATTAAAGAGTTGCACCTGTTTACTCTCACATGATACCTACGTTATGGAACCCCCGCTCCTTGTCAAGGTCATTCTTGAGTATTACCATGCAACTTAATTAGTTTTTCTTATTGTAAAATCCAGACTATATGTTACATCATCTTTACACTTTGTATGTTTTGAGTTTTAAAACATAGAGGAAGTTGTATTTAATTTGCAATCACATTTATTTAGACGGATTTTTGTATATAATTGCTTTTGGTGCACACCATCCAATCTTTTGTACTCTTGATTTTACCACTCTTGGGCTCTTTCATTTTCTTTGTCACTAATCAGTTACAGTATCTTCAATTATTATTTTTTCAAGAAGGTTTTATGGATGGTATGATTTCTTAAGCATTTTTTGTTTTCACACATAAAAGACAACTTGACCGGGCGAAAAATTCTTATGTAAAAACCACCAAAAATGATTTGTCTCTAAGATGCCAAATTGCCTGATAGAAATAGAAAATGTGTAAGCAGGCAGTTTTTTTTTTTCTTCTCAAGAGCTAACAGAGTCTATAGAGCTTTAGAACAGAGTTCTCCAATAGAACTTTCTACCATGGGGAGAATGTTATATAGTCTGTACTATCCAGTGCGGCAGCCACTGGCCTCTTGAAGTTATTTAGCACTTGAAATATGGCTAGTGCAGCTGAGGAACTGGATTTTAATTTTTTAAAGTTTACTCAAATTAAATGTAAACACTGATCATGTGGCTAGTGGCTTCCAGATTAGACACCACAATTCTAGAAATATAGAATGGAAAGGAAGCCTAGAAGCTCAGATCAATTTTGCTGCCTTGAGCAGGTCAGATTATCTTCCCGGGTCTCAGTTTCCCTGTCTATGAAATGATACAGCTTTCTCAAGACCACGTAAGAAGTTAATGTTAAAGCTTACACCAGAGTCTTAAGAAACTCTCAGCTCAGAATTGTCTTTTTCAGGCCATGGTGCAAACGAATAGTTGAAGCTTTAAGCTGTGATGCCAAAGATAATAAATTAAGATTCATTTTTTTTCCCCAATTCCCTTGCCTTTCAAGCTAATAGCCTTGGTGCACCTGACCACCCTACCTAAATTGGCATTCCTAGTAGTTCCTTATTCCTATATCCTGCTTAATTTTTCTTTCTTTATCATTACTCGAAATTACATAAAATATTTGTGTAAGCGTACATTTGTCTGTTCCCCCCCCAGGAGGTTAGCTCCATGGAATCAGGGACCTTGGCTAAGGCTGTGTCTTCATTGTTTGGAAAGGGCTCGATGCACAGCATGTACTCCTTACCTCCTTGTTGAGGGAGTGGATGAGTGAAAAAAAAAATCTATTCATTAAAGTCAATTAGGGAAAGTTTGCAGTCCGGTCGAAGAGGAGGAGGCGGTTGCTGCTTTACCCGCTCACATAGAGATTTTAGTTTTCAGTTAACAGTTTAGTTTCAATTTGAGATTTTATCTTTTTGAGCTCTGTACCATTGGGTAGGCATGCTGTCACGCAGAGGCATTTTCTCCCCAATTAAACGATCAGTCCCAGAGAACAGCTCAGCTCTTACTGTTTTTATTGCTCCCACTACACTTGGGTCGACATTCGGAGGAGGTCGATGCATTCACCTGAAGGATGACTGAGACCTGGCCCAGGAAGACCTTTTGTTCCCTGAAATCACTCTCAGCTGCATATGCATCTGTAAAATGGGGAAGTACTACCTGCACCGTGGTATTGACATGAAGACATCAATGCAAGGACACAGGAAAAGCATCCAATACAATGCCTGTCAATGTGCATTGCCTTCTCTCTCCCATTCTAACCCTAAAGGTTAAGCTCAAGGAAGTGGAGGAGCAGTGCTCCAAATCCAGATTTTCTGCCTCAAAATACTGTACTCTTTTGATCACACCGGGCTTGGTCCCCAGCCTGTCTGCCTGAGTGCTACTCAACATCATTGAGTTTCGGGGAGAGTGGGAACGGGGGTGGGGATTGACTTTCAAGGACTATTCCAGGCCAAGTCTTCTCAATCCTGTCCAGCTCACGTGGATGTGTATGGGCAAAGCAATCCTGAATAGGCGGGCTGTGGTCAGCCTGACCCAGCACCTTGCCTCATCGAGCTGCACGTCTACTCTGAGAGTCTATAAATGCCGCGGAGCCCTCACAATGAAACCCTTCACAATGGAGTGCCTGGATTTTATTGAGAAAAGCCAATCCCCTCCCATCTGTCATTTGGCACTTAGTACTGTAGTTATTCTAGATGAGTGAACACTTGTGTTATATTTTCCAATAGCAAAACTGGGGTCACCAGGGTGCCTGCTGTTTTAGCCGAATCCAGATGGGGTTTTCCTATAAACAAGTGCACACGGAATATTTATGCCGCCCGTGGCACCTGACGCCTTAATACTCAGGACTTCTATGTAGTAGCCACTCTTCCTATAAGTCACTTTAGCACACTAAGTAAATATTTTAATATAGCCATGTCACTGTTTATTATAGAATGGCTTGGGCCCAGATCTTGCCTAATGCTTGGTTAAAAAGTCAGTTTATACCATCCTTTAAAGTGAATCAAAGAATGCATAAACGCCACTCTTTTGTTACTCAGAACTCTGTTTACTTTACTTTTCTGTAAACCTTGTGAAATGCTTGCTTACAAAAAGCTGACAGATGCCAGATTTGCTCATTAACTGGAGGTGTTTTCCAAGTCGGGAAGGTGAGGTGTGAATGTGGGAGGTGGGGCTTCTTCTCCGAGGCCATCTCCCAGCGTCCACTGCCCGGGGGGCCTGCTGTCTTGCTTGGGGATCTTGACCCAGAGCTGCCAAGCAGTGAATGGGACTGAGAAACACCAAGTCAGGGTCCTGGCTCCTAAGTCAAGCCCTGCTTCTGCCTTGAAACAGTAAAGGCCACCTGGGCACCCTGAGACTTGGAAGGACTTGAAAGGTTCAGAGTCCAATCCTCTGCCTTCATCAGGCACCCATTTAAAACAAGTGATAATATTCATCGTGTGAAAACCTTGTGATATTTACCAGTTCTTAGTGCCATTTAATTTCTAAGCCTCACCCTGAAGACTCAGACGTTCCCTACAGGCATGGCAACTGAAATGTTGATATGTGCTTTCAGGTGCCTCAGAGGTTTAATGCTTATGTTCTTGGTTAAATTTAAAATGTGTGGAATAGATAAATCAATACATGACATGAAGCTATATTTTTACATTAAAAATTGGTGTTTAATGAAATAAAATGATGAATCAGTTAAGAACTTTGTGTAAGAAATAGACAGAAGTTTACAGGAGTAGAGCCCTTTAAGAAGGAAGTAATGATTCCCTCTCAGTGTGTTGCTCATCATTTCCTTGAGGGTCATTTCCCTAAGACCGAGTCTGCCCCAAGTAATGTTCATAAAAGGTCCAATGAGGCTTCTCTGGGTTAAAAGGAAAATAGCTACAACCTGGCAGTAAGTTCCATTGGATTCTGGATTTTTTTCAGCACAAGATGTCACTTTTGACTTGTTAAAGTCTCTTCATGAGCACTTAAAGTACATCTCCATGGAAGTTCTGTTTATATAGAAATAACATTTATTGCTTTTTACTATTTGTGGTAGTCAGAATAATGGCTCCCCACAGATGTCCAGGTCCTACTGCCCAGAATCTATGAATACGTTACATAACATGGCCAAGGGGAATTAAAGTTGCAGGTGGGATTAAGGTTGCTAATCAGCTGACCTTAAAATAGGGAGAGTGTTCTGGATTATCTGAGTGGGCCCAATGCAATCACAAGAGTCCTTAAAAGTGGAAGAGGGAGGCAGAAGTCAGAGGTCGGAGTGATGCAGTGTGAGAAGGACTCAACCTACTGTTGTTGGCTTTGAAGTTGAAGGAAAGGGGCCACAAGCCAAGGAATGTGAATGCCCTGGAGAAGCTGGAAAAGCTAAGAAAACAAATTCTCCTCTGGAGCCTCCAGCAAAGTGCTGACCCTTGCCAACACCTTGATTTTAGCCAAGTGAGATGCATAAAGCACTTCTGTCTTAGAGAACCAGAAGATAATAAATTTGTATTAAGTAGCTAAATTTGTGGCAATTTGTTGCCGCAGGAATAAAAAAAACTAATACACCATTTATGAGAGGAAAAGCCTTGCAAGAAAAGATTTAGAAAATAGCAAAATGTATGCAAAATAAAATAAAAATGACCATATTTGACCATGTACAAAGACACTTATTAACAAACCTCTAGTTCTTTTTTACATTGAACACGTTACTTTGAAAAGTGTGGAATCACATTGTCACCTCATCTGCTTTTATCACCTGGCCTTATATTGTAAGCAATTTCCCACACCTTTAAATGTTATAGAAAACTTATATTTCACTTGGTAGATATCCTACAATTTATCTAATCAATCACCTATATTTTGTTTCTGTGACAAATATGCTTATATATCTTTGATGATTTTCTTAGTAAAAATTCCTAGAATTAAAATTACTGCATGACAAATGTATGAATATTGTTAGTTTTTAAAATACATATTACTGTGTCATCCTCCAGAAAGACTGTTAATTTCCATCTCACAGGCAGCATATGATTATAGCTGTTCCTCCTCACCACTGACAAACCCTGGGCGTTATCGCTTTTTGAAATTGCCATGTTGAAAGGTGAAGAAGAGTATGGCATTGCTTTAATCTGCATTTCTTTGATGACCGATGCAGCTGAGCTCTTTTCTATAATAATTAGCTATTTGTGTCTCTTGTTTTATGAACTGCCTGCTTACGTCTTCTTGTTTTGAGATGTATTTTCATATTGACTTGTAGGAATTATTTATATATTAAGGATAGTAACCCATTACCTATTCTGTATGGTACAAATAATTTTTCCTTTATTTGCCTTTTTTCCTCTTATGTTGGTTGATCATGTATTATTTGATCTTTGTGTCTGTGCACACATACCTAAATATATACACACGTTATGTACACATACACTTTCATAAAAATATTACTAGAAATCCCACACCTTAATCCCAGGGAAAATCGCTGTTATATTTTTTGATATCTATTTGAACAGATCTTTTTCCCACAAAATGATATATGTACATAGTTATGTAAACTGGGATATTATGTAGACTACCCAGTGATCTGTTTTAACACTTGACAGTATAGATTAGTTTTTATGTAAATATATCTTGATCATTATTTGTGACAATTGCATTGTATTCTAGCTTATGAAGGTAACTTATTAGCATTTAACAAATCCATTAAAAAGCATTTAGGGGGCCGGCCCGCTGGTGTAGTGGTTAAGTTCATGGGCTCTGCTTTGATGGCCTGGGTTTCATAGGTTTGCATCCTGGGCACAGACCTACACACTGCTTGTCAAGCCATGCTGTGGCAGCATCCCATAGGAAAAACAGAGGAAGATTGGCACAAACGTTAGCTCAGGGACAATCTTCCTCAAGCAAAAAGAGGAAGATGGGCAACAGATGTTAGCTCAGGGCCAATCTTCCTCAGCAAAAAAAAAGGGGGGGTACGTTTAGTCTACCTTAGATTTTTTAGTGTTATTAACAACAATGAAGCTCTCAGTACACTGAGGCAGGCGTAGAAGAGAGAGAACAAGTAATAAAAGCTAATGTTTAGGTGCCAGGCACTGCTGTTAGCACTCTCTATACATTAACCCATTTAATCCTCTACAAATCCCATCTTGTTATTTGGATGGGATACTAATCTTATCTTCCTCCTCAAATAAGTAAATGAAGGCACAGACAGGTAAAGTAACTCGTCCAAGATTTATCTGGATGGTAAGTGAAAGCACCAGCATGTCTCTATTCCCAACTTACTCTAGAAGAACAGTACAGTGGGCCCTCTGGCTGTAGGTTCTGCATCCAGGGATCCAACCAAACGCAGATCCAAAGAACTACGATGGCTACATCTGTACTGAACATGTACAGACTTTTTTTTCTTGTCATTATTCCCTAAACAGTACAATATAACAACTAGTCACATAGCGTTTACATTGTATTAGGTATTGTAAGTAATCTAGAGATGACTCAGGGTACACAGGAGGATTGTGTAGTTGTGTGCAAATACTACGTCATTTTATACAAGGGACTTGAGCATTGTGAATTTGGGTATTTTGGGGCAGAGTGTCCTGGGACCAATCCCTGCACATACCAAGGGATGACTATGTAGTCCAGCTGTCTGTGTCCTTAGCCATGAAGTTGAATTGCCCCAGTAAGAAATGCCCCAGGGCAGAGGACTACCATGGTCATCCAGAACAACAGTGTCCAATATCCGCTATCAGGTTGTTTCCTATTCTGCGGTTTAATTACCTTCAAATAGCCTCAAACACTCATTAGGGTAAGTTCACACAACTATTTCACATGAGTCGTGCAATAGGGAAGAGGAGAGGATGTATTGCCATTTGGAGGCGAAAGAGAGTAGAGATTGTTGCTGCGATGTGGCAAGGTAGCTGGGGGTGGGCTGGGGGGCACCCTGGAGTGATCAGGAAGAAGCTGTGTGCGATACACCTACTCCAGGATCTTGATACTTAAAATGGAGAGAATATTGGAAGACGTGAAGGAATTGAGAAAATCATTACAATGAGGCACATAGAGTTTTACTCTTGGTGATCTTTGGTGCTCTATGAAGGAGACACACTTCCCAGACACGCCTGCTTCCTTGCTACCTGCAGGCAATGTGATCTTAATGTTTTTGTTTTTTTTTTTTTGAGGAAGATTAGCCGTGAGTTAACTGCTGCCAATCCTCCTCTTTTTGCTGAGGAAGACCGGCCCTGAGCTAAAATCCGTGCCCATCTTCCTCTACTTTATATGTGGGATGCCTACCACAGCATGGCTTAGCCAAGTGGTGCCATGTCTGCACCGGGGATCCGAACCAGCGAACCCCAGGCAGCCGAAGCAGAACGTGTGAACTTAACTGCTGTGCCACCGGGCTGGCCCTTTACATGATCTTAATCAAATCACCTTAGATACTGATCACCAGACCCATCTCTGCTTTCCTACGTTACCTGCATAGGGCCTCAGCTAAAAACAGGAGGACGATAGTTGAGTTAATGGATTTTAATTCTATCTTCTTGATTGTCTTTTTTTCCTCTTCTTTTCCTACATCCCCTCTTTAGCTTATGCATATCATTTTTCATCTCTCATTTTTGTATTTTCACCTCAGTCTATTTTCTCCTTCTAGTCATTGGTCTTATTACACAGAAGCCATGTCTCTTTACTCTCTTTTGAGTGGGGAGATGGAATATTGTTGTCGGAGAGCTCAATCTCCTTCCTGCCTCAGTGGCACATTGTCCTGGGGCTGCTGAAATGGCTGTCCAGCTCTCTAGCTGCAAAGACAAATTCAAATTAGGAATCTTAAGCTTCAAATCCCTCATTTGCACTGGCCCTTTCCACGATCTTGCAGAGGACCATACAAGAGTGTGCATGTTCTCATATGTTTTTGTAAAATTTGCAAGAGTATGATATTTTGATAATAATGGTTACGACTCACTATCTCTTTTCACTCCCACTTATCGCCCATCATATTTCACCTCATGTAAGGTGACAATGGCATGGCCACAGGATTTGGAGATCTGGCGAGGGGGAGTTCGTTTAATTTGAATTTAACAGCATGCATTTATGTGTTTTGCAGTCCCTTCTAGGAGTTAAGTTACTGCTAGCTGCCTGGTGTAGGAGTGGCTTCTAGGGAAATTCCTACTGCCCGCCATGCCAATTCATCCTTAACTGAGATAGCAGAGCTGGAGATCAGCTCCTGCCATGACATGACTGGCTCACCTAGAACCTGAAGATTTAAATGCACAGAACCAAAGCTAGTCTGTGGAAAGTTCTTCTAAATCTTACACACATGGTATAGATTTCTCAAATTTACAACAGTCCTAGCAATTTACATGGTATTACCCAATGTTCCTGGGGACTCAAAGAAACTTTCAATTATCATTATTTGAAAAGGTGATCAAAGAAGGTACAAACGAGAAAAGTAGGGAACTATTACAGAATCATGGTTAGGCATGTTATTTAAATCGTGTTTAACTATTGAAAATACTATGCAAAATTTTGGATTTTTATGATGTTTATGTATTCCTCAGTTTTTTACGTTTGTAACTTGTTGTGTTTTATTTTCTTATTCTAAACGAAATATCTTTTGTATTTAATTTTGTATTCTTTTACCTAAAGAGGGTCCAAAAATTATATAAGCTGCAGCCCCAAGAAAATCTAGATCTGGCCTCGTCTATGGTTGAGTTCTTCCATCTCTGAGTCAGTGGCCACATTCTGTGGGCCTTCCGAGAGTCTGATGTCCGTTTGAGGTAGCCTAAGTTTCATAAAGCAGAGCTAAGCTACACAATAAAATGAGGCCTGCACAAGGTTTTCTTAATCCAGCTCCATCTGTCTTATACAAAACTCAGTTCTTCTCGTATCTTGACATCGGATTCTCTATTTATTTTATTTGTAAACATTACCGTGCAGTTTTTCCTTATTTGAGTCTTGTTGTAATTTTAGTGAGAAGCTGAAAAATGCTGCATGGGAGGATGTCACCTAGATATCCTTTGAGACCAGAAGCCTTGATGAACTCTTAAATCTTAGCTGGAACATGTCTAGACATTTAAAATTGTGTCCTGTGTCTTCATAGGAAGACACTTGTTCTGATTATCCATATCAGTTCTCTTAATTTGCACTGAGGTATCCTTTTCATATATCCGCTGGATTTCTTTCTTGTCAACCTGATAAACAATGGGAGCCCCAGGGGAACATATGCTTATCCTCTATTGAACCTTAAAATGGATTCTTTCAGCGACCGATGTGAATTCTGGTTAAATAGTTCTGGTCCAGATGGAAGGAGAAAGGAACGGTTTAAGGTTATGACAGCTTAGGTTGATGACAGTTTTGACTTTACAAATTTGGAGATCTAGAAACCTGGGGAAGAGAAAGAAGGTTGGCAAAGCTGGAGGAAGCTTCTCAGAAAACTTCACCTGTCTTCCGGAGAACTGCTTTGTTGTGTTTGTCGCAACGATCAGCGCTTACCTGGGACAGACACTGTAATTCTTGCTGGGCATAGCCTCTCTCACAGGGAGCCTGGCAGCGCAGTGATCCCATTTTTTTTTTTTCCTGGAATGTCAGCCAGGGTCAAGAGTAAGGAGAGATAAGTAGCATTATGAGCTTCCCATTCAGGGTCACCTTCAGTGCCAAGGAACCAGCGATAAAACCCAGATGCGCCCCCTGGCTGTCCCCAAGTTACCCTTTGCCTTCAGCACACTCCCTCCAAGTCATGAAACTCTCAGTTGTTCTGCAATGGTCTCTCCCCTCGTCTTTCAGAAGTGCAGCAGGAGTGTATACGTCGGATTGGCTTTTGTTTCCGGGTAGACTCATCAACCTTCTAATAGTAATCCCTCCAAGTTTCTGGCATGTATTGAAATTTCCTTTGCTTCCAGTGCTTGTTCACGGAGTCAGTATTTATTCACTCATTCATTTGACAAGCTTTTATTGAGCACCCACTATGTGCCAGCCTCTGCTTCAGGTGCTCAGGACACCAAGATGAATTAGAGAGATAAAATAAGTCCTTGTCTTCCTCACCTGCTAATGGAGGAAAGAGACAATGAACAAACAATGTGTTTGCTGCATTTATTCATTCTAAGATATTGTCACATTGACAACTCTGAAATTGGGGTATATTTTACAAAAGATGACACTGTGTAACTGCTGTCAGACAGGTGGCAGTCGTGATGCAGCTTTCATTGCTTAGACGTGTGCAAACTTGTCCTCAACTATTCTACTGTCATTGGTTCCACTGAGTTGTCAGTGCGTGTTTGCTGGTGCTCTGCACGTTGAATTTAATTATCTTTCAAAACATCTTCAAAAAGATTATGATTTGGCTTTGAAACAAAAAGCTATTGTGTAGACCAAAAGGCATAGCAATGGGGCATAAATTTGGTGTTAGAGAAGCAAATATTTGTTATTGGAGGAATGGATGCAATTTCATCTTTTCTTGCAAAACAACCATTGGATTTTACAGAACCTAAGGAAGGAACACGTCCACAAGTAGATGATACCTATCATAAGCCAAACAGTGCAGCTGAATGCAGGAGAAATTGCCAGATCCTCCAATAGCGATGAAGACTTCCAAGCAATGTGAGGCTGGTGTAATTGATTCTTCCATCCCTCATGACTCCCTTTGAGACATCATGCCATCACTTTATTGCCAGTGGAGTTTTAAAATTTTCTTTGTTAGT